TATACTAATAATGACAGCTCTGAAAGGGAAATTAGGAAAGCAGTACTATTTTACAATAGCTTCCCAAAGGATGAAATATTTAGGAATAAATCTAACCAGATAAACAAAAGATCTATACAAAGAAAACTATAAAACACTGCTATAAGAAACCAAAAGAGATTTACAAAAATGGAAGAATATACCATGTTCCTGGATAGGAAGACTTAATATTGTGAAAATGTCAGTACTACCCAAACCAATCTACAGATACACTGCAATCCCAATCCAGATCCCAACAGCATTCTTTAGAGATGTAAAAAATGATTATGAACTTTATATGGAAAGGGAAGAATCCTAGGATAAGAGCAAAGTTAAACGCCTCTCACTCTCTAATTTCAAAATTTACTACATGGCTATAGTCGTCAAAACAGCCTGGTACTGGAACAATGAAAGAAATATAGATCAGTGGAACAGAATTGAGAATCCATTAGTTAACCCATCCGCATACAGCCAGTTGATCTTTAACAAAGGGCCAAAGTACATTGAATGGGGAGGAGATAGTCTCTTAAACAGTTGGTGCTGGCAGAACTGGAAATCGATATGCAAAAGAATGAAACAAGACCTCTATTTCACACCATATGCAGAAACTAACTCAACATGGGTTAAAGACCTAAAGGTAAATCCCAAAACTACAAAGGTTATCGATGAAAAAACAGTGACAAATTTAAGGGCTCTAATACAGGGCTTAGACTACCAAGCATTGCAAAAATTATACAAACAAAAGAAGACAAAATAGGTGATTGGGACATACTAAAAATTAGAAACTTATGTGCATCAAAAGAGTAAAAAGGGACCTACAGAATGGAAAAGAAATTTTTGCAACGACATATCAGACAAGAGGCTAATCTCTAAAATTTGGAGGAAATGACCATACCTTTACAAGAAAAAGACACATAACCCAATTAAAAAATGAGTACAGGACATGAACAGACACTTCACCAAGGAAGAGATCCGGGCAACCAACAATCATACGAAGAAATGTTCACTATCATTAGCCATTGGTTATGTGGTGGTTATGTGCCATGGAGTCATTAGAGAGATGCAAATCAAAACAACAATGAGATATCAGCTCACACAAGCAATAACAGCCAAGTTCAAAAAAGCAGAGGGCAATAAATGCTGTCAAGGATGTGGAGAGACTAGGACACTCCTACATTGCTAGTGGAACTGTAAAATGGTTCAACTACTCTGGAAAACAGTATGGAACTTCTTCAGAAAGTTGGAAATAGAAATACTTTATGACCCAGCAATTCCTCTAGTGGGTATATATCCACAAGAAATATGAGTCAGAACACAAGTAGATACATGCACACCAATGTTTATTGCAGCACTGTTGACAATGGCAAAAAGATGGAGACAACCTAAGTGCCCATCAATGGAAGAATGGATAAACAAACTTTGGTACATACATACAATGGAATACTGTGGTACCTTGAAACGAAGCTGTATAAACCCTCATTTTATACATGAACCTTGAGGACATTATGCTGTTCACCTGGGAGCCATCAAGGCAAGTGGTTGTGACCCCTCAAGGCAAACCCCATTCCAAGACTGAGACTTGGGGGGGAATACACAAGCAGGCATTTGGTCTGGCTGGTGAACACATGGGAAGAGTGGGGAAAACAGCAATGAAGTTGAGAGCTAAGTCCGACCACATACAATAGACTCCTGTGAACCCGGGTGGAGACATAGTTAGCCAGTAAGACCCGGGGACTCCTGGGCCCAGAGGCAGTGACATGGTCACAGAGGACTAGAGCAGAGAGTGAACCATCCAACTGATAAGAAGTGAAGAGAGATGCTCAAGAACTTGCAATTAGTACCAGACCAGGCTTCAATGGCTGGATGATCAAAACTCAACTAGAAGAAGAAAGAAGAGGGGAAAAAAAAAGAGGAACCTGCTACAATTTGAAGAACTTTACCTATACTTATGGATGTAGTAGCTCAAAAAAAGGAAACAAATCTTTACAGCAAGGATCACTCCCACCCCCTTGGTACACCAGGTTGACAGGGATGGGCAACTTAGACATTGGATACCCAAAATGTGGGGGCTACAAAGGCAAGAAGTGACTGGCTTCCAAGCTTTCAAGAGGGAGCCTAGTTCCAGATTTGGTGGGGGAAGGTAGACTCTCTACTGAATGGTTTCCAATCTGTTGAGATGGGGCTAATGAAAGGAGATGGGGGATGGGGATAAGACTCTTGTGGTACAATAGTGAATGATTGCTA